TTGGAAGGCATTTTCCAATCTTTGCTTCCAAACAGCTCCTCAACTGCGGTGGTTTCAAATAAATTAGGAAAAAACCTTCAAAAAGGAGGACCACTGAGGATTTCCAGTTTCTCTCTTTTCCTCACACACATCAAGCCTCCGCCGGCCCCTTCGCACGTCCCTGCCCACCGCCCCTGCCCAGCGGCACCCTCCGGGTGGGTGCCCACCCAAGGGAGCCCGTGGCCACAGTTTCCACGGCTGTGGGGAACCACCTAGTGGCCCCCGGCCAGATTGCAGCAGTGGCCCTCGAGCAGAGGACCCGGCAGAACCACCACCCGGACACATCAGCCAGGAGCTGCACCCCGATGGTGCATGACACTGCAGACTATGCTGTTCGCTCTTGCAAAGCTGCTGCTCTTCAAAGAAAGCCGAGCCTTTTCATTTTCACTGCAATGAATATCTCCTGTCCCCATTCTTCCCCCACCTCCTATTTTCACTGCAGTGAATATCTCCTGTCCCCATTCTTCCCCCACCACAGAAGCATCTTTGCTTTACTCAGTCGCCCCCAGGGCAACAATCACTTGCAACTCCATTGCAAGAGCAGCAGCAACCCAGTTCCTCTGGGTGAGCACCGTCCTGGAGACACCGACAGCTGTATTAATGTAAAACTCCACAAAACCTGCTTGATGCTTGGAGCCATTCCCACCTTCCCACCACCCAGCTCACCATCTAGGCAGCTTTTCTCGCTGTCCCTGATAACTCCTCTTAGTTCCCACCGTGTCATCTTCCCAGGGAGTGCAAATTAGCATCGTTACACCAAGGTCAGTAAAGTCCTCATGTCCAGCTGAGGAAATGACCTTCCCGTGATAAGTTATTCGTTGGAAAAATAAAACAAACTCCCCTTTGCATGGTAAAGGAGTGGGCAGGTTAACAAGGTGTCACTGCCAGAACATTTCAACTGGAGAAATTTTTAGTTAATCTAATTTACTGCCAATTAGCACCAAATTCTGATGACTGCTCCGCGTTGCGAAGAAGAGAACATACATAATTAAAGGGTCAGGGGAGGACCTTTCCTCCCCAGGCTCAGCTTCACCCAAGCTCTCCTCCCGCCTATCCCACTCCCTCCTCCCCTGACACCGAGCCCTACACCCAGCCCTTCACGGGGCGATGGCGGCGCAGGGCATGGGCCGTGCCCCCCACGGGTCTTTCCACCACTCTAGGCATCTTACCGGGGTTCCTCAGCAGCTCAGACCTTGCAGGGGTGTCCCGGTCCCAGCGTGATCTCTTGCAGGCCATGGTCCCTCGGAAGGGGTCTGTGCTCCAGTGTGGGTCACTGGTGGCTGCAGCCCCTCGGGGGTGTCCCTGCCCCGGCGTGGGTGACCCCAGGCTGCAGTGGGGTGTCCCCCATGGGTGTCCCTGTTTTGGCATCAGTGACCACAGGCTGCTGCAGAGTCTCCCCCACGGGTGTCCATGCCCTGGCGTGGGTCACCACAGGCTGAGGTGGGGTGACCCACATGGATGTCCCTGCCCCGGTGCATCTTCCTGCGGGCCGGGGTCCCTCAGGGGGGATCAGTGCTCTGGTGTGGGTCACTGCTGGCTGCAGCCCCCCGGGGGTGCCTCTGCCCCGGCGTGGGTGACTGCAGGCTGAGGTGGGACGTCCCCCACGGGTGTCCCTGTCCCGGCGTGGGTTGCCAGAGGCTATGGCGGGGTGTCCCCCACAGGCGTCCCTGTCTCAGCGCATTTTCCTGCAGGCCATGCTCCTTCAGGGGGGATCAGTGCTCCGGTGTGGGTCACTGGTGGTGTTCAGGGTGTCCCTGCCTCAGCGTGGGTCACCACAGGCTGCAGTGGGGTGTCCCCCACCAGTGTTCCTGTCTCGACGTTGGTGACCCCAGGCTGATGTGGGGTGTCCCTGCCCTGGCGTGGGTCACCAGAGTCTATGGTGGAGTGTCCCCCACAGGCATCCTCAGCGCATTCTCCTGCAGGCCGTGGTCCCTCAGGGGGGATCAGTGCTCCGGTGTGGGTCACTGGTTGCCCTCGGGGTGTCCCTGCCCTGGCGTGGGTCACCACAGGCTGCTGTGAGGTCTCCCCCACGGGTGTCCATCACCAGGTGCTGCAGTGGGGTGTCCCCCATGGGTGGTCCCTGCCCAGCCTGGGTCACCAGAGGCTATGGCGGAGTGTCCCCCACAGGCGTCCCTGCCTCAGCGCATTTTCCTGCAGGCTGTGGTCCTCGGGGGGGATCAGTGCTCCGGTGTGGGTCACTGGTTGCCCTCGGGGTGTCCCTGCCGCGGCGTGGGTCACCGCAGGCTGCGATGGGCTGACCCTCATGAGTGTCCCTGCCCCGGTGCATCTTCCTGCAGGCCAGGGTGCCTCGGGGGAGATCAGTGCTCCGGTGTGGGTCACTGGTGGCTGCAGCCCCTCAGGGGTGTCCCTGCCCCGGCGTGGGTGACTGCAGGCTGAGGTGGGCTGTCCCCCACGGGTGTCCCTGTCCCGGCGTGGGTCGCCAGAGGCTATGGCGGGGTGTCTGCCACAGGTGTCCCTGCCTCAGCGCATTTTCCTGCAGGCCATGATCCTTCAGGGGGGATCAGTGCTCCGGCGTGGGTCACTGGTTGCCCTCGGTGTGTCCGGGCCGCGGCGTGGGTCACCGCAGGCTGCGATGGGCTGTCCCTCACGAGTGTCCCTGCCCCCGCGTAGCGCGGCTCCAGCCGCCCCACCCGCCTCCTCAGCGCCGGTTCCCCTCGGACCCGCCTGGCGCCTGCCCCGGGGGGCGGCCGGAGCCGGCTGGGACCGGTGCGGGCCGCTTGGGCGCCCCCTCAGAGGGAGCTGCCGCCCCACGGCCCAGAGGGTGCGAGGGGCCGCCCGGGCCCGGGGTGGCCGCTCCTCGGCCCTGTCACCAGAGGGGCTGCCCGGGGCGGAGGGGGGGGGGACTCATGTCCAGCTGAGGAAATGACCTTCCCGTGATAAGTTATTCGTTGGAAAAATAAAACAAACTCCCCTTTGCATGGTAAAGGAGTGGGCAGGTTAACAAGGTGTCACTGCCAGAACATTTCAACTGGAGAAATTTTTAGTTAATCTAATTTACTGCCAATTAGCACCAAATTCTGATGACTGCTCCGCGTTGCGAAGAAGAGAACATACATAATTAAAGGGTCAGGGGAGGACCTTTCCTCCCCAGGCTCAGCTTCACCCAAGCTCTCCTCCCGCCTATCCCACTCCCTCCTCCCCTGACACCGAGCCCTACACCCAGCCCTTCACGGGGCGATGGCGGCGCAGGGCATGGGCCGTGCCCCCCACGGGTCTTTCCACCACTCTAGGCATCTTACCGGGGTTCCTCAGCAGCTCAGACCTTGCAGGGGTGTCCCGGTCCCAGCGTGATCTCTTGCAGGCCATGGTCCCTCGGAAGGGGTCTGTGCTCCAGTGTGGGTCACTGGTGGCTGCAGCCCCTCGGGGGTGTCCCTGCCCCGGCGTGGGTGACCCCAGGCTGCAGTGGGGTGTCCCCCATGGGTGTCCCTGTCTTGGCATCAGTGACCACAGGCTGCTGCAGAGTCTCCCCCACGGGTGTCCATGCCCTGGCGTGGGTCACCACAGGCTGAGGTGGGGTGACCCACATGGATGTCCCTGCCCCGGTGCATCTTCCTGCGGGCCGGGGTCCCTCAGGGGGGATCAGTGCTCTGGTGTGGGTCACTGCTGGCTGCAGCCCCCCGGGGGTGCCTCTGCCCCGGCGTGGGTGACTGCAGGCTGAGGTGGGACGTCCCCCACGGGTGTCCCTGTCCCGGCGTGGGTTGCCAGAGGCTATGGCGGGGTGTCCCCCACAGGCGTCCCTGTCTCAGCGCATTTTCCTGCAGGCCATGCTCCTTCAGGGGGGATCAGTGCTCCGGTGTGGGTCACTGGTGGTGTTCAGGGTGTCCCTGCCTCAGCGTGGGTCACCACAGGCTGCAGTGGGGTGTCCCCCACCAGTGTTCCTGTCTCGACGTTGGTGACCCCAGGCTGATGTGGGGTGTCCCTGCCCTGGCGTGGGTCACCAGAGTCTATGGTGGAGTGTCCCCCACAGGCATCCTCAGCGCATTCTCCTGCAGGCCGTGGTCCCTCAGGGGGGATCAGTGCTCCGGTGTGGGTCACTGGTTGCCCTCGGGGTGTCCCTGCCCTGGCGTGGGTCACCACAGGCTGCTGTGAGGTCTCCCCCACGGGTGTCCATCACCAGGTGCTGCAGTGGGGTGTCCCCCATGGGTGGTCCCTGCCCAGCCTGGGTCACCAGAGGCTATGGCGGAGTGTCCCCCACAGGCGTCCCTGCCTCAGCGCATTTTCCTGCAGGCTGTGGTCCTCGGGGGGGATCAGTGCTCCGGTGTGGGTCACTGGTTGCCCTCGGGGTGTCCCTGCCGCGGCGTGGGTCACCGCAGGCTGCGATGGGCTGACCCTCATGAGTGTCCCTGCCCCGGTGCATCTTCCTGCAGGCCAGGGTGCCTCGGGGGAGATCAGTGCTCCGGTGTGGGTCACTGGTGGCTGCAGCCCCTCAGGGGTGTCCCTGCCCCGGCGTGGGTGACTGCAGGCTGAGGTGGGACGTCCCCCACGGGTGTCCCTGTCCCGGCGTGGGTCGCCAGAGGCTATGGCGGGGTGTCTGCCACAGGTGTCCCTGCCTCAGCGCATTTTCCTGCAGGCCATGATCCTTCAGGGGGGATCAGTGCTCCGGCGTGGGTCACTGGTTGCCCTCGGTGTGTCCGGGCCGCGGCGTGGGTCACCGCAGGCTGCGATGGGCTGTCCCTCACGAGTGTCCCTGCCCCCGCGTAGCGCGGCTCCAGCCGCCCCACCCGCCTCCTCAGTGCCGGTTCCCCTCGGACCCGCCTGGCGCCTGCCCCGGGGGGCGGCCGGAGCCGGCTGGGACCGGTGCGGGCCGCTTGGGCGCCCCCTCAGAGGGAGCTGCCGCCCCACGGCCCAGAGGGTGCGAGGGGCCGCCCGGGCCCGGGGTGGCCGCTCCTCGGCCCTGTCACCAGAGGGGCTGCCCGGGGCGGAGGGGGGGGGGAAGCTGAGCCGCCATTTCACGAAGGCAGGGGGAAGCAGGGTGCCACTTCTGAAGGCCTCTGGGCTTTTATATATTATTTTTTTCCTGCCGTTCATTCCGGTACTAATGATCAACAGGAGGACTGGAAGGGTGAGTATTTTCCTGACGGAGCCAATTAAGAGAAAGAGGTCAGATGGGCTTGGTCTAGACAAGATAGTTTGAGGCTCGGGGGAGGTGGGCATGCTCTGTAATTTCACACAGAATCACACAGAATCTTCTAGGTTGGAAGGGACCTGTGCTGGAGCGGGTCCAGAGAAGGGCGACAAAGATGGTGAGGGGTCTGGAGAGTAAGTCTTATGAGGAGAGGCTGAGGGAGCTGGGGTTCTTCAGCCTGGAGAAGAGGAGGCTGAGGGGAGACCTTATTGCTCTCTCCAACTCCCTGAAAGGAGGGTGTAGAGAGGTGGGGGTCGGTCTCTTCTCTCAAGTCACAGGCGACAGGACGAGAGGAAATGGCCTCAAGTTGCGCCAGGGGAGGTTCAGGCTGGATATTAGGAAAAATTTTTTCACTGAAAGGGTTATCAGACATTGGAATGGGCTGCCCAGGTGCAAAGCGCGGTGTTGGGATGACAAGGTACATCCCTTGTCAGATAACTTGGGGACAGAAGGTGTATACTGGCAGAAAAACTAAAATCTAAAGAGATTAAAAGCACTTAGGCAGTTTGGGTGCCTCTTACATGGGACCCAGATTGCAGAAAATTCCGTACCATTTCCTCACAGAAAATGGTGCCGCCTTTGAGGTGGTGTCAAGATGTGGTTATGGTGGAAGGAAGGGATAATCCGGGTGGGAAGGGATCCCAGGAGGTCGCCTGCTCCCACCTTCTGCTGGGAGGCGTCCAGTTGAGACTGGGTGGCTCAAGGCTTGGTCTGGCTGGGTCTGGAAGTTGCATCAGTTCACATTATTTTCAGATAAAAATGTTCACAACTGAAATTACCTTTTGGAGAAAAAAAAAAAAAAAGGGCTGATTGAAAATCGGTTTTGCCACTCCATATTAAATTACCTGGAGCTTTTCTGAGGAGTGGACTATTCCAGGGGGATTAGTCTCCCTATTTTGAAGGGGAATTTCCCTAATTTGGAGGAGAAGAATTTTTCATGGGTCAGAAGATCTGTTTTCTGGCCTGTCCCATTGCTGGTAGAGGCTGATCATCACGAAGGAGTGAACAGACCCTGGCGAAATGTTTTGAGATGGTCTGTAATGACTCACCCAGTAAGGCACTTTCCCTAGTTTGATGTAATTTGCTCCAATGAGCAATGAGTACTATCCATGAACCCAACAGCTGAGCCTTGCCACTCGGATGGTGCTGCAAAAAGCTCCAGAGCCAGATCTGCCCTGGGAAGCTGCAGGGCTCTGCAGAGCTCCTGGCACCCCCTGTCCTCTGGGAGACTCTGAGATGCAAAGCAAAAAAAAAAAAAAAAATTAAAAAAGCTGCCCATTTCAGTTTCCTTTAATTGTTTTCTTTTGGCTGAGATGACTTATGGCAAGTCATCTCCCCAGCAGCGGGTGTGCCAGACTGCACTATAAATATTCTGGCTGAGTAATGAGCCGTGGAGGTGTGCTGCGCGGTGGGCAGGCAGGCCGTGGTGGCTGCCCAGCTGCTCCCTGCTCTGGGTATTACCATACAAGCACAGGAACGTATGGCCTTCCTCCTCCCTGAGCATCTCTGGGAGCACACGTGGCTCGGGGCAGCTCTGTCCTGTCTTGAGGAGCTGTGGGTGAGCAGCCAAATCCAGATTTTGGGTCAGAACATCCAGATTCTAATCTCATAAACTATACTATTTTTATAATTGTGATTGGATGGGAGGGTATGAAGGCCCAGCCATGATCAAAGCTATTTTGTGCTGGGTACTATGTGCATTTATACACTGTGATATAATAATCTCTACCTTGAAGACTTCAAAAGACAATGAGATCCAGTGTCATATCTTGAAAAGGGTGTTACTCCATGAAAGGCACCTTTGAGAAACGTGACTTTAAAAAAAATAATTGAAAAGAAAGAAATGTTCTAGTCACTGGGAGGGAAAATGGCTGCTTTTCAGTGATCTTTAGAGTAATTTTGTTTTGTGGATTTCTGACATTTTTCATGTACAGCCCCCCAACCAGTGGGCCTAAGCTACCTGCCAGTAGGATGATGTTCCGAGTTACCATCCTGAAAACCCCTTCAGAGCAGCCTGTGGATCCCCAGGCCTGTGGAGCTCAGTCTGGAGAGCAGTAGCTGGAAGACCAGTAAGTACTGAAAGTTGCTGTTTACAGTTTCTGTTCCCTTATTGCTCATTACCTCTGTTGGGTCCTAAGATGTCTGCACTGACAAGTGCATACAAGGGTATAGAGGGGTCTGCATGCTGGGGACTCTTAAGGGTTGCAGCAGGCAAATTGGTATGAAATGGGGTAGAAAAGGGCAAGGAGATAGATAGAAAGGCTGCAGGAGAGTCACAGTGGCTTTGTAAAGAAGACTGTAGCCCCACTTCACAGAGCTCAACAGGCAGGTAGGGAGGAGGAATCCATTTGCTGTGGTCTGCAAGGATCACTGGAAGGCTTCTGGCAGGGTCTCCTGTAAAATGCTTTTTGGGCACTCAGCAGCTGTGGGATAAGACACAACATCACTGGATCAGTAATCAGCTTAAAGACAAGAAACGGAGTAGAATAAAGGGCTTGGTTCCTGCAAAAGATACAGCCCCGAGTGAGATCATTGGCTCCATGGTGTTTAGGAGTCACTCTGAGCCAAGAGATCTTGGTGTTTCAAACTGGTCAGGGCTGTGTAACATCAGACTCCTCAGGACATGACAATCCTGTCCAGATAGTGCCAGCCAAAGCCTGTCAGAGCCAGAGCTTCCCAGAGCCTAAGTAGCTTTTTCAAGCTTGAGGCACTTCTTTGTGTGTCTAGAGTCACACTGGCTGAATTTCTGTGAGGCTCTGGAAAGTGCAGCAGTGCAGAGAAGGAGAAGGTAGAAACAGATTTGTCCCTGACTGCAGGGACATTCCCAAATTGTTATAAACAATTCCTTTAAAATAAAGTTATAGATGAAACCATCAAACAATAATAGATTAAATTTGCAGAACCAATTTGCTGGGAAGAAGTCGCATCTGTCCTCTTTTCAGAGAGATGAGATTCTCCCTACTAAATTAACGCTTCAGAGGAATAAACATGGAAAGCCGTCAGCATTCATCTTAGCAACTTCTCACTCATCGGGTACAAAATGCTATTTAAAGTGGGTGTGGCCAGGAAAAAAGAGAGTGCAAAAGGCAATTCACAGCCATAACACAGGGCACGGGATAAATCACCTCACCTGGACAATGTCAAAGACATGTTCTGTGAAAAGAATATTCTTAACAGCCCAGGTAAGAAAGGAAGTTTTTTCTTTGAATATAACTTTGGAGGAATTCTTTGCAGCTAGTACAAAAGCAGCCCTGCCTTCAACAACAAAGCAGCCTGCAGGTCTTGCACACTGTATTTATAGCTTCTAACCCCATGGCTAGTACTCACCCTGCAAAGCATCTGTCTTAAAAACTAATGGAGGAGTTTGGAAGGAGCTTTGAGTTGGTTCCCAACTGGTTCACAATGTTCTGCATTTCTTCTCAAATCTTAAAGATCAGAAGTAGATGACCCCGTTAGACTTGAACAGGAAATGACCCAAACTCTTCCCCCCACACTCAAAGTGACCTAACACTCTATTCTTTTGGAGGATTGAAGAAGTTCAGATTATCTTTTCCCATTCATATCTCTCATGCTTCCAAAGAGCAGCACCGAAGCACAAGCCTGGAAAACTCCATGCCTGCATTTACATTTCTGCTGTGGGCAAAGACCAACTCTGCAGCTGTCCACCAGTCCCCAAGACAGGGAGGAAGGGCTGTCTCCTCCCGGGACTGCCCAGTGGAGATCCCCCTTTCTCAGGTGAAGAAATGTCTCTAAAAGTTGCACATGGGCACCACTCTTCCTCATGCTTCAGCTGTGAGCAGATGGGAGGTCCCACCCTGGTGCACACAATGCAGAGAATTGTGTTTACAAGCTCCTCTGTGCACAGGGCAGTGGATTAAGGGGCTTTCTAACCCTTTCTGGATTAAGGGTCTTTCCCTTCTCCCTTTCCTTCTGCATCCAACAGCAAGATGTAGAAAACCAGCCCAGTGATGTGGCAGTGTTTCTGCTGCGCACGGTGCAAAAGCTGCTGTCTCTTGGGAGGGACAAGACTGGCAATTGCTATTTTTCCCACCCCTCCAAATCCCCTGAGCTCAGATTGTTGAGAAATTCAGGCACAAAGTCAGTTCAAATGAATACAGATTAGCCACCTGCCATGATCGCATGGACTCATCGGTTCCTGGGCTAAATTTCTTAACTCTCTATTAGCGGCTAATTAAATCAAATTTCCCATGGCATACTTGAAGTGGTAATGAGCCTGGGGTGACAATAGCATGCAGCATGCAAAATTTGCAAGACAAGGAGGGGAAAAGCAGTGTAAGTGTAGGAAAGAGCAGGGGGGAGGGATTTCATTTGTTTGAACAGCCACGCAGCACCTGCCCCATCCTCCAGCGCGTGCTTTCCTGTACCAGGCTGTTTGGCTAAGCCATAAAGTTAGTATTTTTGTGACTCGACACGCAGCGCTGTGCCCTGCCTGCTGATGCTAATTCAGAGCAGCACTCTGCATGCTCCGAGCACCTTTCATCCCTGGGTGCATCTGACAATACTCAGGCAGCAACATCCACTTGTGTGAGTCGCCTTGTCAATCACTGCTGCCCTAATCACAGCACCCAGCATTTCCAGCCTGCTGCCTTCCCCCTGTCCAGCAGCACTTCGTTCCACGGGGCTTTGTTCAAATGTCATGCCCTAAAGAATGGGCACGGAGGGGAAAGTGGCAGATGAATAAGCCAGGGGGAAATCCTTCCATCAACGTGGTTATCTGATTACAGAATCACAGAATCTTCTAGGTTGGAAGGGACCTTAAAGATCATCTTGTCCAACCGTCAACCTAACTGACAAAAATAGACACCCACACAACAAACAAGGAGCATCATCACTAAACCAGACCTCCCAGCACTACATCAACCCATCTTTTGAACACCTCCAGGGATGGGGCCTCCACCACCTCCCTGGGCAGCCCATTCCAATGGCTGATAACACTTTCAGTGAATTTTTTTTTCCTAATATCCAGCCTGAACCTCCCCTGGGGCAACTTGAGGCCATTTCCTCTCGTCCTGTCGCCTGTGACTTGGGAAAAGAGACTAACCCCCATCTCTCTGCACCCTCCTTTCAGGGAGTTGTAGAGAGCAATAAGGGCTCCCCTCAGCCTCCTCTTCTCCAGGCTGAATAATCCGAGCTCCCTCAGCCTCTCCTCACAAGACTTGTGCTCCAGACCCCTCACCATCTTTGTCGCCCTTCTCTGGACCCGCTCCAGCACCTCAATGTCTTTTTTATGGTAGGGGGCCCAAAACTGGACACAGTACTCAAGGTGAGGCCTCACCAGTGCCCAGTACAGGGGGACAATCCCCTCTCGGGCCCTACTCCCCACGCTGTTCCTGATACAGGCCAGGTAACGAAAATAGGTATGAAAATAGGTTTCAAATATTTCTTCCTTCTTTCAATTAATAAAGAAAAAAACAAACAAAAAATTATTGCAAAATTTGAAAAGCCGTTTTTTAATTAAAAGGGCAACAGTTAATCTTGAAAATGCCTCTGCAGTGTCCCAGAAGAACTGCAGTTCATAGACCTTCTGACCTGTTTCTCCTGCTTGGCCAGGGGGCCCCAGAAGGCACCCTCGGTTAGCAACGAGCGTGCACTCCTTGTCTGCTTATTTTCGAAGCGAGGTGATGTGCATGAAAGGAGCTGTCACCAGGAGCCAGCAGCAGCGTGTCTGTTGGAAGCTCTGAGGGGGTAAAGCACCCAAAAAACCAAAATGTTTGCCCCTAGTTTTTGGGGGGCAAACTGGTGCATCCTTACACTTCTAATGCCAGTGTGGGGGCAACATTGGCAAAAACTTTACAAACATGAGCTGTCCCTGTGTTGATGCTGGATGAGGCAAACTTGGTTCTGTTATAGTGAGGATTTGGAGTCCTAGGGAGGGTTGAAGCTGGAAAGCTTCCAGGAAGAAAGACACAATCCTGCTGAGCAGAGGTCTTGGGCAAACAAGGAAGTGTTACCAAAAAGGTCTCCCAAACCTTGTTAGACTCACCCAGGCTCCAGGGCCTTTGGCTGCCGCAGCGCATTTTTCTATGAGATGGATTAAAAACCTCATGTCCCAGAACACACACATCATAGCAAAGTAAAGAGGCTTTCACCCAAAGAAGAAATGGAAAGTGTAAGTGATATTTTGCCTCTTTGGGAACTTTCATAAGTGTTTTTTTGGCTGGGTTTCATAAAGGCTTTTTTATCCAGGGCTACAAAGTCAGAAGTAGCTGATGTGTTTGTGGCCGTTCGGGCTGAAGGCTGCACCTCTGATGTTAATTGAATCCCCTGATCCCTAGCATGCCCTTGCAACACCAATAACACAAACATCTGGTGGAGGCAGCAGAAGTGCATCAGAGCCCTGCTTCCAACAGCAATTAAAAAAGGGGGGGAAAAAAAGGGAAAAAGCCAATTACATGTAATTGGATTCAGTAAACTGAATTATCTCACTATTAAAGCGGTGCTTGTTTTTTAGATAGTGGGACATTCAAACTATCAAAAGCATTAATTGATTCATCCCTTTTTTCAAGTGCTTTCTCAACAGTGCCTCTGTTCGAGAGCTGCAACCTTTTGTTCGCGTGGGGAGTCTGAATTATACAGACCATGTTTATATCTTGGTAGCTCTATTCATCCTGACTTTTTTGTCATGTTGGTGTTTTAACTCGAAAATGAGCTGAGGCTCCTGCAAAACATAATGGAAGGTTTATTTCTTCTTTTGTGATGCCTTCACTGTTACTGGAGGTGTAATTTAACAAGGGAGAAAGGGAGAGGAATGTTTTGAGTCTGATTCTTAGCCATTCAGATCCCATGCGTGGGAGCTGGGTGGTTGGGTAGGAAGCCAAAAGGAACCAGAAACCTTCCCTGTGCTGTTGTGCAGCTTGGCACATGTGTGTCCTCTGCAGCTCCAGGGCTGCACTAGGGCAAACTTTTTTTTTCCTGTGCCCTCTACATATTCAACAGAGGATATCCAGTGCTCCAGGGGCTCAGAGCAGTGCCATGAGGAGGCCCTCATGCCGTAGCCCGGGATGTCAAGGAATTGTTCTGTGCCAAAGTGGTACATTTGTCACTGTGC